GACTGTTAGAACTTCCTTGTAAACACTCATTTAAGTAGTACAAGTTAGTTCAAAAACCTTTTATATTTCCACAAGGCCCTACATGACCTAGAGTCTGTGTATTGAACTGAACTTGTGAAACCTCAGAAAGAAAAAGAAAGAGACAACTATATTTTACTAGGATAATAACTTAGGTTCACACTTAAAAAATATTTCTACCAGACGGTCCTAGGCCAAACCTCTTGGTATTGATCTTTCTCGGATTAACCGACTGGAATTGTGAGTGAAGATGCTGAATGGGATGGGAACCCAGAGCCGCCATTTGCTAAAACAAATGACGTGTTATAAAGAAACAATGCTATAACCAGCTATGCTAGAACATTGTACACCATTCAGTTCCTTGCCCTCAGAATCTACTCAAAGTTTGATAGTGCCAAATACCCGAATGAAGGCACATGGGGACCTTCATTTTGACATGGCTGCAGCTACATTGTGGAATAACTCTCCAAAAATCTTAGATGTGCAATGACATTTTCTACGTTTTTTCAAACCACAAATGAAGACCTATCTTTTTAAACTATCTTATGGTGTTTAATCTGTGATAACTAGTTTTATGTTGTTTACAAGGTTGGCTGCTTTTTAGTTTTTTTTATTTCTCCTTTCTTTTAGAATTTTTATTGTTATAAGTTGTGATTGGGTTTAACAAATGCACATTTTCTCACCTTTGTACATAATTTTGAGTAAAGCGCCTTAAGGTATATTATATTAGATATATAGATATTAATGTTCGTATTGCATTGTATCATTGTTTTCCCCTCAATTTTGATGCATGTACATAATCTTAATGAAGATCAATTTGGAATTTGAACGTCATGAATATATATATATTTTCATCGAATACTGAAGTTACCTTGGCACCATTTAGTTTTTTTCAGATAAAAAATGAAGATGTTCAACTTTTGCAGTTTGCAATGACTGCTTATTTTAATTAATCAACTCCTCTGATGTCAGATATTAAGGTCACAACTTTCATGAAAAGGATATCGTTTTACCATCTGGACATTATTCCCTTTCCTAATTATTGTACTAGCATACAATAGTCACTAGACATTTTGAAAATATAACTTATTAAAAGTCTTATAGCGCGTTTAAACGACAAAAGTTAAGGCAATTACTTATAGACTCTCTAAAGAATTACTTATAGACTCTCTTTACAATTACTTATCGACTCTCTAAAGAATTACTTTTTGACTCTCTAAAGAATTACTTATTGACTCTCTTTACAATTACTTATCGACTCTCTAAAGAATTACTTTTTGACTCTCTAAAGAATTACTTATAGACTCTCTAAAGAATTACTTATAGACTCTCTATACAATTACTTATTGACTCTCTAAACAATTACTTATTGACTTGTACTTATAGAGTCTCCATACAATTGCTTATAGTCTCTATACAATTTCTAGACTCTCTATACATGCAATACTTATAGACTCTCTTTTCAAAATTATACACTTACTTATAAACTCTCTATACAATTACTTATAGACTATATACAATTACTTATAGACTCTCTAAACAATTACTAATAGACTTGTTCTTGCAGAGTCTCCATACAATTGCTTATAGTCTCTATACAATTTCTAGACTCTCTATACATGCAATG